GTGCATGCTTCTTTGGTTCGACGTGTCTTTTGGGATTCTCTTCTCGTTGATTCTCCATGCCCGTCCTTCCGTGAAGGCCGATGAGAATGTCCTTTGGTCCTGTCGTGCTGTGGGACTGCAGGAATTGTTTTCTGCCCCCTTTTCGGGCATCTATCTTGGCCGCTGGAATTGGCGTATCTTGTAATGGGAACGGTGGCTATATGACGTTTTACATCATGAAATTGACGACCGTTTGCAGGTCCGCCAATTTGTCCGTAACTCCCTTTATCTCTCCGTCCCTCCGCAAGCATCTATCTTTTCATACCTGGAGGTCATTCTCGTTATAATACCTGCATCGATCTGCCTTCTTTGGTACGTCGCCCTCCTCGCAGACGTCTTTCTCTCCGGGATTCTGATCCCGAGTTTCTTCATTGCAATTATCCTCCTCTAGGTTGGGATCAAAGTGCTTACCACTCCCAGTAAGAATGTCATCCCCAACCTTTTCTTTTTGTCCGTCGTTAGCCATCTATTCTCTTTTCTTTCCCACAGACGGCGCCAAATTATGTATGTCAATTTCTAACCACACTGCCAAACAGGTACTCAGCTGGAGAACACCGACGGAATAGATTAAGCTCGAACAACCTGTCACATAAAGATAAGATTCCGACGATGGTTCGCCCACCCGGGGGCACTCCGACGATCAAGTCAGTTATCTCTCAAAGATAGCAAAAGTGTTTAACTCACTATTCAGAATGCAAAAAACGTACCTTAGACTCACGAAGGTGTCTTGCTTTTATAGCCAACACTGACCTAATCCCAATAGAAGCCTAGCTTCAATGGACTCTGGCTTAATGCTATTCTGGACTCCCAATAGAAGCCTAGCTTCAATCTTTATCCAAACTGAAGTCCTCTCTCATTCTAGGACTCTTGTCCCTTATCCGCTTATCCCGAATTCCGATATCTTCACAGATAATCTCGGCCTAGCCGAGATCACCTCGACGTCATGACCGGGACACGTGGCACTTCGGTTGGCACTTCGGTGCCACCTTGGCCACGTGTTGTCATTCAAAAATTATGTCCCCACACTATTTGTGAACCCATTGCGAGAGAGGCATAGAGCAAGAGTTTTATCAAATTTTGTGTCAAATTCGAAATAAGTTAAAAATAAAAAATAAAAAATAAAAAATAAAAAATAAAAAAAGAAAAGACAAAAGAAATAAAGAAATAAAGAAAGAAAAAAAAGTGTAATTTATGACAGCAATACAAGCCTCAATAACATTAATCCATTATAGCCACATGGAAGTCTATTTTCCAAAATACGAGACTCAAGGCATTTACAGAAATTGATCGAAAAGAAAGAGAGAGAGAGAGTAATTTAAAATAAAATAAAAAAAAAAGTCCTTCAAGGTCAATTGGCATACTGATTCTCACATAATTAAATCAGGATCATCTTCATAGTCATAATCTGCATCATTTGATTGTCTGATTCTCTTTGCATCTCTTGGCCCTCCTCTTCCCTTCTTCGGTTTTCCTCTGCAAGTTCACCCACAGATATAAGAATGGGAGAATTACAAATCAGTGAATTTTTGAAAAAAAGATTTTGAGATAGATGAAAAAAGTTTAGAATTTTAATTATTAATATTTATAATATATGTAACTTTTTGATAAATTTATACTGAACAGTAATTTCCCCTATAAGAATTGCAGGGCTTGATAAATTTATCCAGGGTTTGCAAAGCAAAGATGTCAATTAATAACCATAGACAAATGATATCTGGTTTTTTGTAAGCTTCAAATCTTGATTTATTGCCTTGAACAATAAAAATAAAAATACTCACTGCCCATTCGCCAAAATACCTCCATCTCGTCCAACAACATGCTCTTCTGTCTGGAACACAAATCATCAACAAAACAAGAACAGGAATCACAATAGCAAGTTAAACAATTATGTTGTAAACAAGGGCATGCCATTTTAACATAACAAACACCCCCTCTGTTTATTGAACAAGATCAACTAACTCTAAAATGGCACCCAGATGTGTTCATTAATGATAAATATTGAAGATCATTTCTATGAAAGTAAGATATATTTAACCAAAGGACTTCATGTTAGCCATATACAATAAATAGTTCATTGGAATGCAGAATATTCATGGTAATATATTTGGTTAAAGAATCCCTCCCCAGTTGATCTAGAACAATTGGGATATCCTCTAGAAGAAATAGGGGGCAGCAACATGTTATTGGGTGGTGCACTCCTAAGGAAATGCTATTACCTTGAAAATTATTAATTTTTATTTTCAAAGGTTAGAAAATTTAAAATTACTGTCTCCATTTTTTCAAAAATTACCAAGGAAAATGCTGTTGCCTTAGAAAATTAAATTGAAAAATACTTTCTTCAATTTTCAAGAGTAAGCAAATTTAGAAAATACACCATGACCAATTTTAAATCACCTTTTTCCAATTCTTTCCTTCACAAGTATGATCTCCTCACATCCTTGAAGAATGAGCGAATTGCAAATTTGCTACTTAATTCCATAATCATCCTAATGTCACATATCTATGTTTCGCATGCAATCCCATGTGAGCAGATGTTTAAATTATATATGCTGAAGTGGTTACAAGAAACATGAGCTCAAAGCTGTGCTGCATTCATTGCTTGTACAAACAATATTATAATTGCATAGCAATACACATTAAGTGTTTCCTTCAATTATGCAAGAATAAAACTATAATCAGTTCTCCAGGAAAGGCATTATAAAGAGAAGAAGAAGAAGAAGAAGAAGAAGAAGAAGAAGAAGAAGAAGATAAGCATGGAAAATACTGGAAGTACACTGCAATTGACAGATCCAGAATACATACAGCTGGTGAGGTGACTGAAGACAACGAAAAGAGCCTATCTTCAGGCTGAAATTTCCTAGACCGCTTTAAGCTGCAGCCACAATTTGGAAGAAGTTGTTTCTGTCGTTGGTAATCGATAAAGATTATTATCCAACTAAAATTAAATTCGGAATGTTTATGAATACTAAGGAGTTGTTTGGGATGACCAAAATAAGTGTACTTTTTGTCTTTTTACGAAAAGATGTGCAGAAAAGTAGAGAGGTGATGTGATGGAAAAAAGATAAAAAGTGTGTACTTATTTTGGGTAGTCAAACTTGGCCTAACATTTACATTAAATATCATATGCATTTCAGTTTGGAACATCTAATTTTTTTTATTTTTTTTTTCTACTAATGCTGTGTTTGGTTGAAGAATTTGAGAAGGGATTTGGAAAAGCAAAAGGAAAGGGAAAAGTGTGTGAAATTCGGTGAAATGTAGGTATATTTTATTCACATTTCACCTACATTTTCCCTTTTCCTTTCCAAATCCCTTCCCAAATCCCCAACTGAACACAGCGTAACAGAAGCAGCAACAAACTAATTTTGTGTTACATATCTGGAGCAAGTTAGTACAAGTTCAGGTTTCTTATCAGAAACATATATATATATATATATATATATCCAAAAGAAACCAACAAGAAACATAAACAAATAAATAAATAAAATCCTCTCCACGAGATTGATGACTTAAGGTCTATCAGTTGTCACAAATCAGCTTTTTGTCTTTCCAAGGTTCTCAAAGTGGAGTTCTCTTTGAATGACATCTATATGAAACCAAATGTTGTCCATGAAGGTCATATGTTGCAAGTTTTTCTTTTTCAAACACTATCAAATTAAAAGATAAAGATCACACAATTTTTCTTTAAAAAATAAATAGAAATAAGATCCAGGCAGAAGCCAATTTCTTTCAAATAGGATCGAATATATAGTAATGAAGTCGAGACTTGTCTGGTTTTAATTTACAATTTAATATGCCCAAAAAGTTAATTTTCTTTCCACCCAGAGTAGATGTGATCGGTTAAACAACTAAACTTGATACTACCTTGAAAGGAGATGATCTGAGGTTGGCTGCAATGATTCCTCAATTTCATTCAACCTTATCTAAAACCATATCCTTTGTCAAACCATCAACTATCAAGTTTTTTCTTATTGTCTTAACCCCAAATATTTTTGGCCTTCCCCGGCTTCAAAGGACCTTCAACCTAAATAAAATCACTCACTTTTTCTGGGCATTTAGTGAACTTTGTAGCACATGATTACACCGTTGTAAATGTAATGAATCACACGTAATTTGACAATATAAAAAAAGTCCTTTAACAGAAATTAAAATAGTCAATGGTTATGCATAGCACTTAATATGAATTTGTTTAAATTTCCGTAAAAACTTGTGTAAGCCTATTCTTTCGTGAATCGTGACATTCATTAATATAAGGCCATTGTCAGACCAGTAAATGATCTCACCATTATATTGGAGTCTTTGAAATTATGAAGATGACTCCAATTAAATAACATACCATGGTGTTCAAATCAAATGAAAAACACAATTGGGTGACTTCAAAAAATAATAATAATAATGATGATTAATGTACAAGGTTTCCAGGATAAATGCAATATGTCAAATTACTATGACTAAATGAAGAGTATCAATGCACAAACAGTGACTTATCAGTTCTTGTTGGTGATAATAAATACATGTGTTCTAGTAAAGCATTTTATGATGAAAGAATGAAGGAGGAAAATTGTATTAACAAGATGGAATAATGTAAACAATTTTCTATTTAAGCAGTGGTTCATAATGGACTGTAAGTCTGTAACATTATTTATTCGTAAATAATTGGCCTTGTGTTTTCATATAGCAATTAACATATTCATGCATCCAGTGATGAACAACACGTGTTACCTGTCAATCACTCAATCAGATATAGTACTTCACATATTAATAAAAGCGAAAGGACAGAAATAGTTGTCATCACAGGAGAAAAGTTAATAGATTTACAGGGTAGTGCTCTTAGATGATGATAGGAACCCTTCATAACCTTTCAACACATTGCCACATTGGCTTGGATCCTGTAAATAACTTGTCTCCATATCATACACCTGGAATTATGATGAAGTGTTAGGTTTTGAGAAGATAAAAGCTCAAAGAATGTAACCCTAATCATCAAATAATTTGACCAACTCAGTTTTTAGTTGTAGGGGTGCACAAAGGAATGGAAAACATGCAAACTGAAACAACCTGTCATGGGTTGGATTCAGCTGGTTCTGGATTTGGACTTTGGCTAATTTGAACCAACCCAACCGAAAAATCAACACCTATATATATATAATTTTATTTATGGTACGTGCCTTAATGTCATTGTATTTAATTTTGTTTAATCACACAAGGCATGTTAGTAAGCATATTCCAAAAATACCCCACTAATCATTCCTTCTCACGAAGGATAGCCCCATCTCCCATTAGTTTTATATTTCCATATCCTTTTAGTAGCTTTTTCCCAAAAATTCATTTTTCAACATCTTAGTACCTTCCCCAAATATCATTTTTTATTGTTTATATTCTAATCAACACACCCAAATGCAAAGTTATCTCATCATTTGCATTGTTAGCTAGAGATTTGATGATGTAGAATGTAGACAGGAAACCTTTTGCCACAAAATATGAATTGCATTAAGGTCCTATTTGTTTACCGGATATGGGCGTGAGACCGGATATAATATGTGGTGAGTCCCACATGTTTTTTTGTCTCCTTATATTCCATATTTGGTTGCTCCGGATATGAGGAGTTGGATAGTATATAATGCAGAAGGGGATATGCAATACCACCTCCCCATGGTATTCTATATCCCTCACAGTCAGATATAGCTCATCTTTCATCCAAAAATCAAAAATAATTACTCTCCTCTTATCCCATCTTATATCATATCTTAACCAAACATAGTACAAGTGGTCCCACAATATATATAATCTATCCTTAGGTATTACATATCCTCCTCAAACTCTTAAATTCAATCCGGGCAATCAAATGGGGGCCTAAAGTAATGATAGCTCAAAGTGAAGTATGATAAAGAGTCAAAATATTGAGGAGCTCTTAATCTTGTAGAAAGAGATTACAATTTTGTCATTGTTCTTGTTATCATTTAAGGCACCATGAACTTAAAAACAGCAACAAAAAAATAAAAAAAAAATTACCTAACAGGTTAGGACTAAAAAGCATTGCACCATTCACATTGAGCTATGGCCTTCGCAATTTCTCCACAAAATAATAAAAATTATAAATAAATATAAATTCCCATTTCTACAAGGTCTATATTCATGTGACATTGTGATCAAACCCAACTCCAAAAACTCAGGAACTTGTTAAATCTATTCAAACCCGAAACACCCAGAAAATTCAAGACACAAATCATCGATAAGCATACAATACAACAACAGACACACACACACACATATATATATATATGATTTGAAATAGATAGACAAAAGAAGAGTGATAAAGAAAAGAAATCACCTGTTTTTCGATGATACGGAGGTCTTCGTGAAGTTTGGCTCTTTTGCAGAGAAGAGCAGCGAGCATGGCCGATGGGTTCGAAGAGTTTCGTTGCCCTGAAAAACATCATATACAACAGAAACAATGATCAAAACGCGAAATTTCAAATTCGGAAAAAAATAGACAAAAAAAAGAGAGGAACTTTTAGCGAATACCTTCTTGGTCCATTGTCTTTGCAAGAAAATTTTGGAAAATTGAAGAGTGAGAATGTAATCAAACGCTTGATTGATAGAAAAACCTAGGTACCTAGGGTTAGGGTTGGGGTTGGGGGCAGTCCTCGACTCCGGTGATCTCGCACTTGTTCATACACCCTTCAAACTTCCAAAACGTTTACGTTACGATGGGGTTCTGCTTCTCTACTTTTGATCCCACTATGTCTTTTCTGCAATGTCAAATCAGGTTCTACCACAAAACAATATATTTATTTATTTTTGTACAAAATAAATATTTTTTTCCTGGATTATAAATGGACAGTTTAGGGCCGTTTGGAATAAAATTTTTTAACGTAACTTTTTAAATATTTTAGTTTGGTTAAAAAAAATTATTTAAGATAATTTTTTGATTTTTTTTTATAATTGATTTGATAATTATCAAAGAAAAAATATAATGATTATGATTTAAATATGATATTTTATTTTATTGACTAAAATTAATCTATTTTACCTTTTAGTGAGTTAATTTAGTGCTCGTTTGGCTAACATTTTGGAATTAAAAAAACACAAAAAGACAAAATAAGCTCTATAGGCCAATAAGATAAAATATCACTTTTTACCCATAATTATTACACTTTTTCTCTCACAAAAGTCAAAAAAATCTCAAAACAAAAATCAAATGAGACTAAAAAAGCCAAGTTAAAAAAGTCTCAAACTAAAAAAGTTGATTATATTAGTCAATGTCAAACGACTTTTTAACTCTAACTCATATACCAAACCAGCCCTTTGTTTTAATTTGGGAGATTTTACTTGAGCTCTCTCATTTTATTTGTAGAGGTGTTAAAAAAAAAAAAATAAAAAAAGAAAAAAAAAAGAAAAAAACTACTGGTGAAAAGAAAATGTGTCGTAGCTCAAATTTTGTGACTCAAAAGTGGCTCAAATGGCTAAAACGACGTCGTTTTGGCCATTTTTATGTTGTTCTGTACTCAAAACGACGTCGTTTTGGCCATTTGAGCCACAAATTTTGAGCTACGTAGCATTGTCCCTGGTGAAAATAGTAAGAGCTCCGCTACGTAGCTCGAATAGGTTGTGGCTTGAGTGGCTCGATTTTCAGCCACAAGCAGCCCCCCACGTGGAGGTGGGGGTGCTGGGGGTGCCTTGGAGCTGGGGTCTCTAGCATTTCCCAAAAAAAAAAGAGAAAAGAAAAGAACAGAACAGAACAGAGCGAAGACACCCAGGCCCCTTCTCTTTCTTCACCACTTACCATCTCTCTTTCTCTCTCTCTCCCCCCAAACACACATAAACACAGTTAAAAGAGACCTCTCCATTTCATCTTCATTCAATTATCTCTCTCCACTTCCTCCTCAATCCCTCCGCCATTTCCGCACCTCTCGCGACCCCTAATAATACACACACACACACACAGTTGTTCAATAATAATGTCTAATGGTTTGGTTTGTGATTTTGGTGGTTACGAGTTAAAAAAGTTATGAAATTCCACCTCCTGTAAATTGGGGCATCCGGATAGTCGGCACACACAGAAGCAGCACAGTAAATCTCCTTTCTCCCTCTCTCAACTCTGTACTTTTCTTTTCTTTTTCATTTGAAATGAAAATGTATGGGTAAAACTGAGATGAATAAATGGGGTGTATACAGATATGTGGTGTATGTAGAAGTCGGGCCATTTTCGAGTCAAAGAATTCGAGCTACGAATCTTTTCTGAAATAGTAAACTAATTTAATTCGGTTCAAATCACCAATTTAATTAGTTTTTTACTAGCTTTGTTTTAGTTTTGGTTTCAAAAATAGTTGTACCGTTCAAATTAGTTTAATTTTTAATTGTAAAGCTTTTGACATAGATAAATATTGTTCATAAAATTTGAATTTTTAAAATCCTTTGATTAAAAAAATAAGATCCCCAGTGAATATGGAAATAGTCAAAAATAGTGAAATTTACATTTGAATGTTAAAAATTGAAAAATTAAAGGCTACTTATTTTTTTATCAGTAGAAAAATCCATTAAAGTAAGCCAAACGACACTTAAAAACGAATCCATCCAATAAAAAAACTTACACCAAACAAAGTAAAAATATTACGAGAAGTAAAAATGAGAAAACCATGAAAATATCCAAAAATATTGTTCCTCTTCGAACTGCGAAACTAAGCTAATCATAATAGATCGATAATAGAGTATATGTTTGAGATAAAATCATAGGTCAAAAATGCATGTTGTTGAGTTGTTGCAGGTCAGAGTTTAGAAATGCATGTTGTTAAGTTATTGCAAGTCAAATTAACTCTTTATTGCATTTCAGATAAGCTTTCGTTTGATTATAAATAAATAAATGTTAAAAAAATAAAAATGATAGAAATTTAAATTTTTTTGAATTTTTTATATTTTTTTGTAAGAAAGTAAATCTTAGTTACCAATCTTTTGAACTTCAGTATTTTTTTTACTTGGATTTGAATTTTACAAAAAAATATGTTGACAATCAGTGGCGGAATCAAGAAATTAAATCAGAGAAGACACTTATTAATTACAATATTAAAATTTTTTTAAAAAATATTTCACATAAATTTTTACCATTAACTTCAAGAAAGATAAAAAAAAAAAAAAAAGTCAATGTGTTTGGTTTTAATTTTTTTGAATTCAGTTTGCTGAAAACTAAGTTTTTTATTTTTCATATTTTTTTGATTTTAGGGAATATTTTTTAAATTTTAAACAATTTTTTTACTTTTTTTAGATGCACATTACTTAGATATGTATCCAAATAATAAAATATTTGTAAAAAAATATTTTAAAAAAATTAATAAATATACAAAAATACAAAAAAAATGTACTGAATTTTCATATTATTTTTATATTTTTTGATATTTAGTGTATTTCTTAAAGATTTTTTTCACAAATATTATACTTTTTAGGTATATTTATATTAGGTATGTCTAAAAATTTTAAAAATTTGCTTAAAATATTAAAAAAATTTATTGACAACATTAAAATACAAAAAATAAAAATGTAGAATTTTTTTAAAATTATTTTCTGAAAACTATAACCAAATAAGCTAAATATTATTTGTAATTAGTGTATCATGGACAATATTAAAAAAATTCATGGATATAAAGTTTTAAAATATATTATATAATGATAAAGTAATTTTTTATACAAAATATGTATAAAAATTCAATATAATAGTTATACCACGTCATCATTAACATGTGATATCACCAACTAATAGTAAAGAAACACATGGAGAATGAACTCTACATGTCAAATGTAACTAACAATTCAATAAA